GAGGCTGCTGAGTGCTGATCGAGCTCTGCTGGGAGAGAATTGGGGGAAAATTCGGGAATTTTGGGAAAATTTGGGGAAATTTTGGGATTTTGGGGTGGAATTTGGGGGAAATTGGGATTTTCTTCAAAAAGTGGAAATTTTGAGGGAAATTTGGGAATTTTGGGGAATTTTTTGGGAATTTTGGGGGTTTTTGGGCACCTCAAGGCAGCGGCTGACGTCGCGGATTTTCATGGCGTTGCGGATGGAGCGGATCAGATTGGTTAGCTCCTCATACCTGATCAATAACCAATCAATAATCGATCAATAACGATCAGTAATGATCAATATCAACCAATAAACCACTGATCAATCACTGATCAATACCTGATCAATCGCCAATCAATAACCGATCAATTATTGATCAATATCAATAACCCATCAATAACCGATCAATAATTGATCAATAGCGGTCAATAACCAATCAATAATTGATCAATATCAGTCAATAAATCAGTGATGAATCACTGATCAATCACCTATCAATACCTGATCAATCAACCACCAATCGTACCTGGGGGGAAACTGGGATAGATCAGAGATCAATAACCAATAATCAATTGATCACCGATCAATACTTGATCAATATAAATCGATTAATCATTGATCAATACCTGATTGATATCAATCAATAACTGATCAATACCTGATCAATATGCATCGCTCAATAGCCAATCAATAAATAAACAATAACTAATCAATCACTGATCAGTATCGGTCAATACCCAATCAATACCTGACCAATATCAATCCATTAATTACCAATCAATAACTGATCGATCACCAATCAATACACAATCAATAACAAACCAATAATGAATATATCATCAATCAATAACAGCTCTATCACCAATCAATGACCAATAACAGATCAATAACTGATCAATCAACAACTAATCACTAATGGATCAATAACGGATCAATAATGGACCAATACCCAATCAATAATCAATAACCAATCAATAATCAATAACCAATCAATAATCAATAATCACCTTATATCCCGTGCACTCCTCACCAATCAAACCCCGATCCATTCCCAATCAATCACCCATCAATCCCCAATAACTGCTGAATAACTGATCAATACCCAATCAATAATCAGTAACTAATCAATAATTAACCAATAACTAATCAATAATTATCATTTGTCCCGTGCACTCACCAATCAATCCTCAATCAAACACCAATCAATCAATAACCCATCAATCCCCAATCATGAGTGAACCAATACCTGATCAATAATCAATAATCAATAATTAATCAATAACCTATCACTAATTACCGTTTATCCCGTGCGCTCCTCACCAAACAATCCACAAACAGCAATCAATCAATAACCCATCAATCCCCAATCAATCAGTCAATAACCAATACCCAATCAATAATCAATAGCCAATCAATAATTGATAATTAATCAATAATTAATCACTAATTACCGTTTATCCCGGGCGCTCCTCACCACCCGTTTCGTGTCCTCCTCATCCTCACTCAGCAGGAGGGGCCTGAAGGGGGAAAAGGGG